GACGTCAAGCGAGCATTCTTTCAAGTTGTTCAATGGGTCTTATTAAAATGGAATAGCCGATACCCGGTTCTCGGGACTGTTATGTGCAGTGGCAAACCACCAAGGTAAAACAACAACAGTAATCTAAATTTCTGCCCATGCAATACCCAATATTCCTCAGATGGTATGTGCACTTACAATACCATTCACCGACCAATATAATGGTACATTCGAATAGAAAAGAAAAATTTGCCGGACCTATCTTCGAAAGTCAGGGTTTAGAAATAAAAGCAGGTATTCCATAACGCCAAACTGACCTCGAGATTCAATCACACAAAATGGCACATAGTACCACGTAAGCTGAAAGGGTTTTCCCGCAGTACATGGACTACATGCTAAAGACGCTTTATTCAGTAGTTATTACCAGGAAACCGAATCATTTGATCAATTTTTATTGAACGAAAACAAAAATCATAAAATCACAATTTGACGTGTGTAACTAGAAAAATCCGGAGCATACATCGTTAGGATTCATTGTGTTGCGTGCTGTTTTCTTCTTTCGGTTCTCCCTGCTCATGATCCACGTCGGTCTCTTCATTCCGCGTGCCTTTACCCGGATGATCTGTGGGTTTCGTTTCGTCTTTGTTTCTACAAAACGGAACAGATCAGATTTGGATAGATACCGATTTCGCGGGCTTACCGACGATGGATAAATGGCACGTGGAATCCGGCCCGGTTGCGTAGTGAAGTATACGTGCTGCCAGAACCGATAGTCAAAAGCATGTGTTCTAGTATAACCTGACGATAAAACGGGGGGAATTAGCCGCATCAAGTTAGAGCATATATATGTAGTACCTGTGTTTCCGAACTGGCATCACTCATGCGTCGACCCGTATGCGATTCGGAACACGCGCGACGTCGTAGATGTCTTCGATCGTTTTCAATCGCTAGCGTGTACGGAGTGTAGCCGGGAGAGAATGACGAGAACGTGTGACCTTTCACGTGATCAGCCATTTTATGCTCAGCCAGATAATTTATGTAGTTCCGATCGGCCTCCGGAATGGTGCTCACTTCGACCTGAGAAACTGATGAAAAACATTATTCTCAAACATACCTTTTCTGTGGATCTTTTCAGTTTCTTTAGACCCGGATCGTCGATAAAATAGGTGATCACAACTGTTCCCATGAATACCAGTACACAAATAATTGGAATAACGGCATTTAGAACGGCCTTAGTACAATTAGGTGCTTCTGGCTGTGCAGTCGTGTTTGTCAGTGGATCCAGAGTGGTCGCGTTCAACGCATTAATGACTTCATTGGGAAGAACAACAGCAGCTGAATCCATGGACATGTTCGGATTTTTGACCTAGAAGGCCAACATACACCGTAAGAATAATACATGTTCAAAAGGCACTTAAAAAATACAACAATAAAAATTTCACTCATATATAAACGTGTATCATTCTGAAGGTCATACTTTCGAATCCCGTCTATATAGATCAACTTCTCTACTTCTTAAAGTACAAGTACATTATTTAAAAGACAAAAGACTACCAGATACGTATGTCTGACGAGCGGCAAGAACCGCGAAAGCGGTAGTGTGCTTCCAGGGTAATTTTATCCAGTAATTCATGTTCCACTTATTATAATATATATAACACGTAACCAATTACATATAATTGGCAAATGTGTTACAACATATGAAGAAAGGAATGTGAAAAGGGTTCACATATAAATCAATAAATAGGGGTCTCGCAACAGATGCGCCTTTGACGCCGGTTACCAGCCGTGTCTGCTATGGTCTCAAACCACAGATGTTCGCTGTCCGTGGGACCCCAAAGTGGGAGTCTAGAGCGTCCCACCATTGCCAGTTTTGAGGTTACCGCCTTCATTAGTCGAGCACGGGTTATTCGTTGTCCACCTTGTGGCCTCTTTTAGGTAGTGTCGGTTTGTGCAAACACAGCACGATGGGGTATCCGCAACACTTTTCCCAGCCAGCGAAGTCTCCGGGGCGAGAGGACGGCACTCAGAGGACAACTGAGATTGTCTGAGGCGAAGATTCTTCGGCGAACATCGTCATTGGTGATTCGCTGTTGCCGTCTTCTGGGGATGCAGCGAAGGCAACAGTGGTCAAATACATTTAATCTCCATACGTATTCTGCGTGGAGGGACCAACTCTCGCAGCAGTAGAGTAAGACAGTCCGGATTGTGGTATTGCTAACGCGGCCTTCCGAGGAGAGACTGAGATCGCGTCGATGCCACGAGTGAGTAGGCATCTTTTAGAAGGTTTACGTACCTCTTAGGCACAGCGCTTCCTAACAGACAACTTCAGAGAGCTGCTCTTTACTTCAGTTCAGTTCTCATAGGACGAATTGTGGCTCTGGCCAATCGAGCGTCCAGAAGTGTTTTCGGTGAGCTTTCTTTTCTTCCAACACTGTTCTGAAAGGTAAAATGGTATGGTGCAGTATCAAGTGCTATTTAACACTCGTTTAGTGTCTTCATAAAAGCGTTTAAAATATTGCAGCTTATCACTGTTTGCGGTAACCACTTCCACAATGGTATCATCCTGTTAGTAAAGAAGATTGTCGATAGCTGCAGCCTAGAGTGGTTTCTTTGCAGACGCAAGTCAGGTCCCCTGGTACGGAACCAAGGATAACAGGTCATCACACCTCACGCTTGATATACTCTTGACAATCTGAAACATCTCTATCAGGTCTCCTCTCATTTGCCTCCGTTTGAGGGAGAACATATTGGGATCTCTGACTCGCTGATTATAGCTTTTCCCTTGTTCACCAGGTATCATCCTTGTTGCTAGACGTTGAACTCCCTCCAATGTGTCAGTGTCCTTCCGATAAAATGGAGCCCAAACGTACATACATGGCCGCGTTCTGACGACTGAATGAAACGCAGCAATTCAGTTCAGTTTTTACACGTATGTCCAAAAAGACAACGATGGTCGATATAGTGAACAATTGACGTAGCTCGAGAATCTGACGTAGCGTAAATAAGTGATCAACACAGCTCCGACCGGAGCGAAATCTAGCTTATTCTTCGTGGACATGACGTTCTCTCATCTAACTGAGCCTGCGAAGGATCAATGATGTTAACATTTTGGATGCAACGAAAATGAGACTAATCCCTCGGTGATTGGAGCAATCGTGGCGGGGGCCCTAAATGAAAACAGGTACGACGTCTGCCAAACCTCACCCGAATAGAATGGATTCAGTATTCCAGATGGTTTGGAATACGAAAGTTAGTTCTCGGACAAATCTTGCACCACCGTATTTGGAAACGGCCGAAGGTAGCTCATCTGGGCCAGACGATGTTTGGCGTTTCAGAAGTTGGAGCTCTCGGCACATTTTTTCCTCGGCAGGTGATAAGATATCCACGGACCATGGAGCACTGTGTACATCAGGTGATGATACCGATGGCGAACTGAATTGGTGATGGAGGGGGAACATGTAATACATTGAGGGCCGGTGTCCAGTTCACTGGATCAAACAGCTGTTGGACGGAGTCAAACGTCCAAGGAGCCTAATACACCTCGATGTCCAGTGGAGCCGCTGACCAATACCACAAACAGGAAGCCGTTTGTGATTCGTACGCCTTTTTTGATTGGTTTGGAATCAGGGTTTTAAGCCAACTCCCTGAGTTAACCTAAATTGGTTAACCGGCGTTGTTATAGTCCCGAATTTCGTCTTTCGTCGTCTCATGTTGGAAGGAAAATGTATCCTAAATTTTAACGCAACGAGTAGGGCTTCAACCTCAAAGGTTTTTTGAGACACTTTGTTGTGTGGGAGTATTTCGAGAGGCGCAAGAAAAGCGTGATCAGACAAGATGCAAGAAACCGACTCCCGACTATGCCAAGGGTCCGTACGCCCTGGGTTTTTCATCCAGATTCCCCAAGGTTAGGAGACGAAGAGGATTTTTGGAGAGTAAAGTATGGTTAAAGCTGGGGAAGAGAAGAATAAATGAAATAGATATAATATGAATAACTACGTGTCAAAGTCGAAGTTTTGTCATGGGAAACACCAACAGGCGGTTGCTTTGCTTGTTCCATAGAGCTTTTTGCACAACTGGATCAATTGATCCGATCCCTATCTCTCTCTGTGATCGGTGAATCAATCCAGTTGTGCGAAAACCTCTAGGGACAAAAACACCCGCTTGTTAGTTAGTATTTCCCATAAAACGACTTTGACAGTTACTTGTTTATTTCAAATCTATTTCATTCATCATGTATGCTTCTCTCTGTCCACTGTGCTTGTTATCTCAATAAAACCGCAGGTGAGGTTTTGTGATATCAACTATTCTCTATTGGTTCTTCCATTGTTCGATATCCGTGTTTCCTGGATACCATTGGGCTACCTAGACATACGGCGACTTTAACTCGTTTACCCGACAATCAGCAGTAACAGCCGGAATAGCCTAAATGTGGCTAGAAATCCGTTTTTTATCCCTGAGGAACCACGGTTTTGGTCAGCTCTGGTCAAATCTTAGCTTTGGCTAGCCAGAGTAACACTCAGGTCTCAAATTTCACCCGAATGGTGGAGCGCATCCCTCGTTCTGTGGGGCTCGTGTGGCGGGATGGATTCCGTAACTAACCCACTCCCCACGCCCGTAACTGATAGGCTTTACGACGCACTGAGAGATGCGGTTCAGTATGAAGGAAGAAAACTTTCTTAAACAGCTACTCCATGGAATGCTCCCAGGGGATAACTGTTTACATTCTCCCATATAACTGCTCAGCAACATGAGGAGTCAAACCTGCAGCCTTCATGTGAACGCAGACATGATGCGCATTCCTTTGATGCAAACCCTTCCGGAATATATTACATTGCCTATTTTTTCACAAATCGTTCTATGCTATGATCTAGAGGAAACAGTGGATGGTATTTACATTCAGAATTTATCAGTCATATAAATCATCCACCCAGCCACACCTTTGGGGAACCTCACGTGGCAAGAGACAAACGACCAGATGAATCAGCGGATGGACGTGTTGATGGCACAAGCAGCTACCCCAAAGTATCCTGAATTCGGTCGTATTTCAGCTCACGATCCTGGTCCTGCTCTAGTTCTCGATCCAGTCGATAGGGTCTTTCTAGGTCATGCAACGTCTCCCTCGGTCATCTGCTGATACCATCGTCAATATAGTGACGCAACCAGAAAGTGTGATTGAAGCTCCGCTTCAATATAAAATAGCGGCCTTGTTAGAATACCCGGAACTTATCTCACTCGAACAGTTTTGCCGCCTCAATGGGTTAGTGTATATGTACAGGTGTTTCGTACCCAACTGCGAGCTAGTTATACAACCACTTGCAGATTTGCTGGACAGTAATCCAAAGCAACTATTCCAGCAGATCTTTTTTGCAAATCTCACCGCCTGCCCACCACACCCACAGACAACTGTTCTCCTACACCATCGTCGGCAGTGATGAAACACAAACACCGTGGTCATGAAGTTCGGAGACCTGTGATGGCTTAGTCACGAGACAACCCAACAAACAGTGATTTTGTCCAATTTTATTCATCTCGTTTTCTTTTTTTTCGTAACTATTTGCAACTCAGAGAACACATTTGTTTTTACTCTCGCGTTTACCAGAAACAAAAAACAAAGAACTTGGTCTTTAAATTGTTGTCCTTTGTTTTTGTCATTACTAATACTATTCCACGGGATCGTTACAGTGAATTTTGAGTAGATTTAGGATGCATCCTAAATCCACTCCCTTTCAAACGAAGAAAATGGCGAAACCTCAACGGACTGCAGACATCTTTGTACAAATTTTCTTCTTTTTGCCACGCAAAAGACCCTCCAGTATGAGCTTACCGGTATATTTTTGGATACTGATGGACCATGATGGTCAACTTTTGTAACCAACTGCCATGTGTTGCCGATCTTTGGAATTACGGAAGACAACACACGTTGTTCTAACACACGCTCTAACCGAAGGCTCTTCTTAGCCTTCTACGAAGGGAATCTAATGAAGTGATTAACCGTCTTACCATGTTGTTTTACCGGAACAAGGTCACCTGTTTAGTCAATCCATGCTGACTCGCACTTTCAGACGAAGACAATATCGCTAATTATGTCGTGTTTTCAGTTGCGATTAGCGACTAGATGGCTCGCTATGGTGTCCTTGATGTTTCCTATCACCTTCAGTGTGGTAAACCAGCAGGGTCTAGACCAGTTGATCATTGCTACTTTAGGAATTGACTTCAAAATTTATTACCATCAAATGCAGATTTCGTTCCGCAGGAAGCTTATCCAAACACCAATACACATTCTGTAGCTAAAAATTCCAAGATGGATACAAATGATAAGAGCAAAGGGCGCCCATGAACGTT